ATGATAATCACAACTTTCTGTAAATCAATATTTACAAATTATACACAAACCTTGTTTACTAAATCAAACACTGCTAAGGTCCTTGAAATACTCCTTTCCAATGAGTTTTCTGAAGCAACATGTCTTTCCTGCTTTCATATAAGTATTTTGGAGGCATTAAGCCATAAAGTAACTTAGTCACAGAGTTAAAACATAGAATTATGTTTTAAGAAAATCAACATGCTCAATAAATTCTTACACACTAAGGCAGCAAATCCATGAAAAAATTCAGGCAGGTAACACCTTTAAAAGTCTTAGCATAGAAGCTTGTTGTTGATGTTTGCTCTTATTTATTTTGCATTGTCTTCCTCTAGGAAGAGAAAAGCACTGTGGCCCTGATCACCCTGAGCCATATTTTCTGAAAATATTCAGTGCCAGAACAGCAATGAAGACTATTCTCAAAGACTCACATTCTTTGTATTAGCAGTGCTGAAATGAAGAGAGGTGACAGGGAAAGAACCACGTACACATAGCATGGCTGTCTGCATTGTACTATTCTATTTTAATTAGGGAGAACAAACTTGCAAGAAGCAAGATCTATATCATAAACCTTCAGAAACCAGCTTAGAGACAAGTGATTTTAAGCCATTGGTGCTGTTTCTCAGCTAGCATGATGTCACAAGCACTTAATTATAGCCAAATGGCTGCATTGCAACTGCAGTACCTCAGTTGTAGTGCATACATTGTGTCAGTGCCACAGCAAATAAAATACTTGCAGAGGGATCTAGATAGGAACTCCAAACATCAATGGCATGAAATTTCACAATAAATTTCTGGAATACATGCTGGATTCTTCATGTGGAATGAATATAAATTGGGAGAGGAGTGTCTGGAGAGCAGCCCCGCAGAAAGAGATCTGGGGGTGCTGCTTGGTAGTCAACTCAATAGGAGTCACATATTTCAGTTATTCCAGAAAATCACCTTTGATTTCTATACAGGAGGTTGTCAAAAAAAAAATCTAACAACTAACCAAAAAAATCCCCAAAACAAACAAACTCCACCAAAACCCAGGTCCTCTGTTTCAAAGAAAAGACCACCCTCCTTCTCAAGAACTCTCAAAAAATCCAGTTTCTCTATGGGCTAGAAATGTAAAAAATAATCTTATAATAAAAAAAAAAAGTTAAGAAAAGTTCCTTTAACACATGGTTGTTAGCCACTGGTAGAATGAGTTACTTTGGAACACTGATGCCACCTCTTGGAAAGCTGACTATGCTTTGTGGTGGATAAAATGTTCTCTTGTAATGATATCAGCAAATCAATACCAAAATATGCAGAGGTCTAGCCAAGCCTTAAGACAAATTTTTATATTTTTATATTTAACTTTTGCTTACAAGTCACAGAATGGTGGTAACCAAACATCCTTCAAGTACTTACTAACATCTTTTATACCTATTATCAGGCTTTATAACCCATCACATGATTCAGGTATAAGAAAAGGTAAAGTTCTACATTTTAGACATAGCCACATACATTATTCCCCTTATGAGAGTAGAGGAAGCAGGAACCTTCTGGACTGCTAACTCCTTACCAGCTTTTATTGGCTGTTTCATGTGTCCCTGGAACCTCTATGCAATTGTTTTAGGTGCAAAATGTGCAGAGGCATTTGCTGTCTGGTGACATTCTGGCACTATGGCACAAAGTGAACCCGTGCGGAAGAGCAAAATATTTTTTACTTCCATTAAGGGCAAATATTCTTTTGAACTAAGGTACCTATAAAATTGCAGAAGGGGTGGTACTTAGCCTTAGAGAAATAGGAAGAGTGGTGAAAGTAACACTTCCAAATGACTAAGAAACGCATCTTCCATCTTACAAGTGTACACCTGTATTAAGAATATGTATCCAGCAATACTTCTATTATTAGTTCACATTGGCAAAATGCCCATAATTTCTGTAATGACATGATAATTAATGAGCAAAAAAATGTCTATAAGGCTTCAGTTTTACCAGTAAAATTCTTTATCTGCCAGGACATTCTTTTTACACAGCTACCCAGGTTGTTGGCCATGCACAGATTTCTAGGATTATGTGATAAAACGGCAAGAAAGCCTTTCCACCACAATCTATTCTGGTGTCACAAACAATGGGCCCATTGACCACTAAACCAAATTTTCATTTACAGAGCAAGTTATGGGATGGATCTTTATATAGATCTTACAGTTAGATCTATATTTTAGATGGATCTTTATATAGATCTTATATTTGGATCTTTATATAGATCTCAATTCTTATTCTTCCCAAGAAACTTTATCCTTCCTGAACAATCAGAGGGATCTGCAGATTAGAACAAGCAGAGTCAGCAGCAGGTTAGTGTCAATTTACCCCAACAAGACAGGTATTTGACCAAACTACACAGACTGAACTGCTGCAGCTCTGGCTGCCCAAGACAATGGACAGTAAAGAACCAGCTCAGATTAACCTATCAGATTATATTGATCCACAATTTCAGAGCATCAATTTTAAAAATCCCAAAACCCATTCCTTAAAAAAACCCTTAGTAATGAGTATAAGTCTATACTGTGGATTAATTTTATCCAAGAATTCACTACAGTAAAGTAGGGATTTTACTTCTCGCAAGTTACAGCTTTCCCCGTCCCCGGCAGCGTTCAAGGCCAGGCTGGATGGGGCTTTAAGCCTGGTCTAGCAAAAGGCGCCCATGGCAGGGGGGTTGGAATGCGATTATTTTCAAGGTCCTTTCTAACCCAAACCATTCTGTGATTCTAAGACTGCAGACACGTTCAACAAAATCATCAAACCCCATTATTTTCCTATGAAAAAACCACAAATGGCCACAGTGCAATCCACGTAGTACATTACGTAGACATATCTATTCTCTCTACACACAGACCTCCTCCCACAGTGCCAACACAACAGATATTTAAGAAACGCTCTGAAGGAGGCGATAATCGAAAGGCCCTTTGCAGTATTGTTTCCTTAGCTCTTATTTGAAAGCCGGCATTCCCGACACACTCACTGCCGAATCCCTTGGCCTGGCTGAGCAGCGCCTCCGAGTCCCCCTGCAGCTC